ACACTAAGTGCGTCGCATTGGCCTTCTGGCCTCCCCGACCTGAACCCCAGAGATTTCGAGGTTCAGTTCTCGTCGAGGTGCGACATCGGGTTTTCGGTTGGCTAGCTCATTGTACCATTTTATTTGTTCTATCAGCTGGTTTCGTTGTTGGAGCGTCAAAGGAGTCCTTTTGGTGCACTGGCCCCGCCATAAAGCCACCCCCAAGCCTCTCTCGGCTTCGAAGTGACCCCCTGGCCTTCCTCCACCCCCTAACTCATCCGTTAGGACGCCAGTTTCGGACTCCTTCCGGACGTAGTGTGCTCCTGTGCGCACAACGTGCCACTCCTCCCAGGAACCGCTAAGGGTTTCATTCCTTTGTTTCCTGAGCCTGTCCATTTTTCTCTCCATTTCTAAGTTTCAACCCTAGCTCGAGTTCTCCAACTCTAAGCTGTCCTTCGTCGTTTCTACGTTTAACGCCCGCCGGCGGTGGTTTTCGAAACACTCGGTGTTTCGAAAGTCCTGTTCGATTTCCATTCTGCATGTCCTTTTCTCCGAGATTGACAATGGTTTCGTTCTGTCGACATTTGTCAGTGGAACAGGATGACTCTACACCCTGTACATCATCACCAAAGTTGTCGTGTTTGAAGGGAATTGACCCGCCGGTTCTATCCGCCGGTTAAATTCGTCGATTCGGGCCGTTTCTTCCGCATAAGTGTTCTGTCGGCTCGATGTCCTGGCGGCCGATCTCAGCATAGTTTCTTCGAAGCATTTAGCATCGCGCGGAGCCCTAATTGGGGATCGCTCTGTGTTCTGCTGTTTATCCTGTGTTCGGAAAACATCTCCTGATGTTTCCTGCCATTGTTTTCCTCCTGGAAACTCTTCATATTTTCCTCCTGGAAAATGCTGTTGTGTTGGTTTTCTGGAGTTTTAAATTCCCTAATTCGGTTTAGTAAACATTCAAGTCCCCATTCATTGCTGCGATTTGAGGACGAAGTCCTTTGACATTTCGCTTTCTCTAACTAATTGCAATTGTACCGATAGTGCCAGGGGTTTGTCGCTCTGCGACCAGGGAAGAGGGACTAGTGTCCCCGTCGTCAAAAAGTATACGTTGTGGCAGAGACGACCTCAGACTAGTCACCTCTGCTGGAGTTCTTGGAATACTGTGTCCAGTGAACACAGATTCCGCTGGGATTCCGCGTCTCTCTGTCGAAGTCACACAAGGGCGACTGAAATTGTCTGATTCTAGGATATTTTGATCGAAGTGTGTGCCCTCACGATTTGACACTTTCGTATCCATTTCAAGTTGCGCTCGCCCTTGTTTTGCCCTAGTCTGCATTTTCGGTTTCAAAAATTCCCTACAATGACTCTGATTTGGAGATTGGCAGAGGGGAGAATTCACGGAATTCTAAAACTTCAAGTTCACTTTTGGATTGCGAAATTCATTTCCTAACCAAGGTCTACAGAGCTAATATTTCAGGAACACGGAACCTAACTGATGAACCGCATCCTAGAATGAGGGCCGTCCGCAGGATATGGATAAAAGGTTTCGATGTCCTGGAAGGTCCCAACAGTTACGTTGAGTCGATAACCCGAAGACTGATCTAATGATGTCTTGACCCTCCCAAATTTATTCCCGATACACCTCGGCCAGTTAACACCGCATGGTTAGCCAGATGCCTGTGGCTGGGCAACTTTAGTAGGGACCTACTTTCCCTTGGTAGGATTTTGGCCAAGCAGGAACCTGCACAGAATAAGGTATGGTTAAGCAATCCAAATAAAAATTAAAAAACAATTGTGATGAGTCTGAAAATCTCTAACGGATCCTGAAAAGAACCTGAGATTTTTAAAATCCAAGAAAATCCTCGTCGAAAATCCTCAAAAACTCCTAAACGCAAGTTGTCTCTTTAATAGTTCTGAAAAGAACCAGAGACTCGAATTCTTTCGATAAAAACCATCTAAAAATCAAAGAAGTTTTTTCTCTATTCAGTTCTAATAAGGACTAGGGAAACGAATTCATTCAAAAATGCCCCAGTAGAATATATCCAATTCTCCTGTCGGAATCTCCTTCAAATAATTCGTGAATATCCAATAACAATCAGAAAATCTTGCAAGAGATTTTCCCTTACACATAGAAAATGATATTCCACATCTTGATTTCCATAAATCAAGCTGAAAAACATAATTTCCAAGTTTCCAGTTGTGCTCTCAGAGTCGGCGGAGCTCGCACTGAAGCTCGGGAAACAAAACCAAACAGTTTTGTTTCACGACAATACCTTTATATCGTTAGCCTTTGAATGTGAACCTTTTTGGGAATTTTTATGAAATGTATTCTTACTAAACCTAGACTTAATTTCTTTATTATTAGAGATAGTATTACCTGAAATAAGTATCTGAGGTTGAAGTCGATGGTTCACTATTAATCCTGGATAAAGATCGGATGTTTCTGGAGGAGAGTGGTACTCATTAGCATACTGTTGACATTCGTCTATTTTTCTACACAATTTCCACAAATGTTCTACTACTGTGATTGGAGTAACAACAACAGATGAAACGTTTATTGTTATGTGGAAAAATACCTTTTCGGATATATTTCAGTTTGGTACTGTCATGAACTGGTTTCTGAAGATGTTTGCATCACCACGATATAAATATGAATGGGCTTTTTTTACCCTGAGTTCTAACTCGTATATCATCCCAAATTCTATCATCGAAGTCAAGAGGCAAAAAGTAAGTTTTCAACAATGAAACTAAATGTTACCAGTCCTTTACCGAAGTTGCTATCGACTTATTCCAGATATATGATTTATCTGTAAAAAGATCGGCAGCAGATGATAACAATTCGTCTTTAGAAACGTTTCGAGCCGTAGTTAGTTCATCGACTCTGTTCAAAAATGAAAACCATAAATTACTTTCTTCGTTGAATTTTGTTATATTTCATAAAAACGGGAATTTATTTCTGAATAGGGTTGTTTACAACTGACGTTCTAAGAATCTGTAAAGTACTATTCATATCTATAAAGGTTGCAACATTTGGTAAAGGGTTTTCATTTATCATTACTTTATCATCTAGCAGAGCTTCCAATTTGATACAGGTAGCATATTGTAACAGATTAAAGAATTAACTGTTTTGAACAAATTTATTTCTAACAATATTTTACTAATCACAAACAAATTTATATTCAACACTTAGCGACTAACGCTAGAGTTCATTCAACTAGAGTTCATTCGGTGGTTGCCGACTGCATTCCTTTGCGGTGATGGTATGTGTTTGTTCGCTGGCCGACATATCAGACAGGGGCGGCTTCAGATCCGTTACAATATCTTTCCTTTTTGAAATGTTGAATGAGAACCGCGTCTTCGTTTTGGGGAATTACGATACTTTGAACTCTATAACTGATACAAATGAGTTGTGATTTAATTTTTTGAAAACCAGAATCTGTTTCTGGACCACTGAAGGATCAGTTAAAATAATTATATCCTTATCATCCATGCTATTATTAGCCAAACGTTTATTCAAAATTGTTTTTGGAGGCATATCTTTTTAAGGTACTATATTTCTCAAACGCAACTCAATTCAAATTCATGATCAAAAAATAAATAGGTACTAAAGAAAAATTAGACGTATATGAAAAACTTGGGGTCCAGCCTGTACACTATCAAATGTATATTCATACTCACAATTGCGAGCATAAATAATTATCTAAATAAATATTCAATGAATAAAAAGAAGTTTTGTATCAACGAAGCAAAGGGAGTGAAAAACAAAGAGAGAATTTATAAAAACCTGTTAACGTTTTTTCCTCTATTTTTTGCGCTCCTAATGAAAACTTTAGTAAAAATGATAATATTAAATCTTAAAAATATTCGTATGCATGGAACTCTTTCATTTATTTCAACTAGAAAATGATTAAATGAAACAACAAAAAATAGGGGTTGAAATTATTTCTAGTTAATGAAAGGGCGCCAATTAGTTTGAGCTCATACGTGAAAATTTAGACTATATATAATTAATTAACTAATGAATCAATTATGATTAGAAATAGATGAGGTATCAAGAAAAAGAATATTGTTGAGACCTATAATATCTTCAAATAAACATTTTACATATATACAATAAAAAAAA